TTTCAAAGGAAGTGAAGTAAGAAGAAAAGTGTGGCATCGTAACTTTCTCTCTCTCAAGAGGTCACCTCATAAATGTCACATGGGGGATGGATAGTTAAAAAAGAAAGAAATCTAAACGAGAAAGGAAAAGAGTGTGTCAGTGGTGTTTGGTGTGGCCTTGGGTGAACGCGCGCCAACTTCGAGGAGAGAAGAGAAAAAAATAGCAGTAAGCCAAGCCAGCAGGGCAAGCAAGATCCGCGCAATTACGTCCATTTCGTTCACGTCACTTTGTAAGAACGGCTGCACGTGGCAAGTTCCTGACATGAGTATCACGCATGGGTACCGATATCCTCCCCAGCCCACTCACCTGCTTGCTCTTAACCCCGTTGAAGAACGCCTGATAGCTCCACGTCTGTCGTTTATGGGCCTTGGGCATTTGACTCAAGGCAGCGGCCAGTACGGCGTGAAGAGGCAGGTGGTTAACGTGCTGATCGACGTAGCCAACACTGTGAAGTGCCGACGAGGAACGTGCCCAACAACGGTGCCTTCGATGTACACATCATGTACCGGCTCGTTAACAAGCCTTCCTACAGAAATGATCTCGCCAAGAAACGTCCCGTGCACCTCCGAATGAGCTCCTCTAACACCATTCACTTTGAAGATATAGCGATGATTTTTTTCCGCATCTTGTCAAGACACAGCGGGTCTGTAGAGCAAATAGATAAATAGGAGGAAACGCAGTAGGTGTGTGCTGCCGTCTATTTTTATATGAGATTTTTCGTCATGAACCGAATGCTTGGAAATAAATGAACAAAAATATACTTAAGTTGCGAGTGGACCGTACATCCGGAAACAAAAAACCGCGCTCGTCCGGAACGTTTTCGTAGTCATCCCACAAAAACAGCTTTGATCATCAGATAGAACAGCGGAAAGGGAATGAGACGTTAGCATCCTGCCTTCACCAGAAGTTCATGGCAAACCATGTAAGTGATGCCCGGAAGCAGGTGTACGCGACAGTGAAACAACTGTGGTGACAAAAGCTGATGAACTTACTAATACCGAGGCAGCTACGGCCTGTGTGTATTTTATTATTGTCTATGAATCATATGTACGACTTGTATATAGCACAGACTGCTTCCTTCACGGATCCAACCTGTGATATCAGCTTCCTGTCGTCTAATATATTTGCATTGTGGTCTACCTCATTTCCGCTAACAAGTCACCACTTCTCTTAGCCTCGTCACAGCCCTTTTAGCCAATGTTAATTTACATGGTTCAACAATTCCGACAGCGAGTCGTACTGCATAGCCACCTTTTGCTTTGATCATGATACTCGTGGTCACAAAAAGTACCAGGAAGAAAAGGTTGGTAGTCTTCGTTTTTGTTCTTCGTACAGTCACCCCGTTCAGTGGATGGAGTCAGCATACGGAAAGATTGGGCAAGCTTTCGTAGTCGTAGCCTCTGTTCCTCAATTTATTTATATTTCACGATTCTCCTTACTGATCAGCAGCACTATACGTGCCATGATTCGCTTATTCCAGAGAGCTCCTGATTGTGTTAGATAAGAGGTTTGACACCCTCTCTGTTGATAACCTTTGCAATATAGAATTTTTTTCTTTGCGTCAGCTATATTTTAATCACTCACACTTGAATACACAATCAGAAGGGAGGACCTCTAAAAGAAAAGTGAAAGAAACAAAACAATGGTGGCATATATCTCACTTCAGTATATATTGGTCCGCTAGAAATAATATTGTGTTTGTTACCTGTTCAGGAACGTTGACAGTTGGGTGGGTTCATAATAATTTATGTTTACTTGTGAAGAAGTGCACGGAGATAAGACACGTTTAATTTGTTCACAAGGTATGTTTTATATTTACTTTTTGCTAAATAAACTTAGAGCAAGTGCAGCGGCGTCTTTTTCGATGTGTGCTTTGCCCCCGTGCAATGCTTCACAATTAAACATAAATTATCTACTTGTGTTTCTGAAATAATGTTCACCTGTTGAAAATTTTCCTCTAAGCTGGTGGCTGCGTTGTTCTTAAAGTGTAGCTAGCAGAATTTTTATGCCATCAAGACATAAGTGGTTATTAAGGAGCTTTGCTTCTCTTGCAGGATAGCAGCAGCCAACGTGTGCTACATAGCGCTTCTCCTCAGCGCTTTGTCGACGGTAGACTCTAAGAGATCTAGACCACACATCGTGTTCTTTCTGGTTGATGACGTGGTAAGAAGATTGCTTGCCTTCATAATGGGCAAATAGTGTCTCTTCTATTTCAAAATTGTTCTTTTTTTCGTAACAAAATGTGCGAAGTCTTTAGTAGTAACATTTCTCATTACAACATGTCATTTCTTTCGTATGAATAATTATTCCACTATTATTTCATGATCGAAACGTTTTTACACTACTTCGTTCTGCAGCCGCTGTGCTTTCTCCGTTTGAACTCCAATTTTTCGAGTTGCATATGTTCTCAGCTTACGTTAACTGTGGAAAATTGTCTCTTATACGGTATGTCTCGTTACTATGAGTACTGTAAGCATGAACACTTCGAAATATAGGCGAAGTTTTCGGCGACCGGTCTTTCATGTGCAACTTTGTCCACTTAACCTGGCGTTTGCCAGCGCGACGCGCGTTCGCGCATAGACAATTTTCTGCAGCGGCACACGGGCGCTGCCATTGTTGATCACATGACCATAAATGGCCTTCTCGCAGCAAGTTGCCCCAGTCAACGAATTCGGCCAGCAAAGCGGATGTGACCTTTAGTGCAAGTAGCAGGGTGTTAGAAGCCAACATGGAAGCACCCATGTAGACGTGACCACCCACTTCATTTCGAACTCACGCTTGCTAATGGCGCCCGCTGTAAGCAAAAACTATCCCAATTTATGGTTTTTGCAGCTCGTGACCTCTGAAAACTCTCTAGTGTTTCAAATTACTACGTCATCTTGGAGTGAAAGGCAGTAAATGCCATAGTTTTAGCACCACCCACCACCTCTGAGACACGTAGTAGAAGGATGTCAAAATCCAGTTTTACCCGGAGGGAAGCGTTTGTTACATGAAGGAATGTTTTTTTCCCACGTGACTGCAAGCTGCAGCTCATTCGGCAGCTTTTGCACCCCCCCCCCCCAAGTGACGCTCTGAGTAATCGTGAAGATATGCGAGCCCCTCAGAAGTTTCTTTTTCTTTTTTTTTTCAAGGAATGGTATGACATTGTCGCGCCTCATGGCTTACATCGAGTCAACGCACTTTGAAGGAAACTTGGAACTGAATAAGCACGACGAGTGAGAAAAGCATTCAGTGAATGCAAAAAGGGACCCCTGCTTCGAAAAAAAAAATCTACTGGAAAGTTATTTTCCAGCTTTTCGCACATCAAGGCTTTTGCATTCCGGTGGCTCTAGAGACGGATGGCGTAAGAAGCTCGCGCTGTATGTGTTTGGTTGAGATGATAGATCTCGCGTGCTCCTTCATCATCGAGCGACCGTGCGTACACAGCGCAAGCCTTCAAACCTCGACGTCATGGATACCTCGCATACGTGCCGAATCGCGAAGACATCCCAGTGGTAACGAAAACAAGCTGGCGTCATCGTCCATGGTTCCTTCCTGGAGAGTGATCATACAACTTCGAAGTAATAAGCAAAATGCTTCGCTACGTCGTAGGCACCGAGTCCGGCCAACGCACAAAGTGAGTTCCTTGCTGGGGTAGGCGAAACAAGCGTCCCATAGATTTTTTTCTCAGAAGACAAGGTCTGCTGGAGTGAAGTGCAGTCTGAATTGTCCGCTCTATGCGCCAAGCTTTGTCAAATATATAGCGCGAAGGTGAGCACCGGTATGAGGTAGACGTAGCCAAAAAGGGGCCGACGGTGAGCTTAGTGAAAACCCAGATGGTGGTCCGAATCTTTCGTTGGAAGTACGTACATACATTGCTCCATGAGACGCCGTGATAGTGGATACCTATTTTTCATTTGTGTCTGAAAAGACGATTAAATTTGCACAGAAGATGCATTCTGCGATTGCCAGCTGTCTTTCATCGCATAGACACGTGCTCCTTGAAAAGGCCTAGTGCGCCGTCGGTAAGAAGCTTCTGCAGGCGTGGCACCGCTATTCTACGCCCGTGTACTGACTACGTGCTGCTAATGTGCTTATGCATCGCCACTCAATGAAGTCGATTGAGCTGCCGTGGTTTGTGTGCGAATAGGTATATTTTTTGAACTTGTGGACGAGCAGTGTTAACACGGGTGAGGCCAACAGGCCGGTGTGCAAGCTAATTGGATAATTAAAAAGGTGAGAAGGGGTGGGTTTTTTAAAAAAAAGTTGGTGTCACTCGTGATGGCTTAAGGCCTACCGTAAGTTTACGCTTGCACTTAAACCGTTATCGTTCGTCTATGCCCCCCCCCCCCCCCCCCCAAAAAAAAAGCAGCTCTCCTACAGGCACAATGCATGGCAGGTCAAAATGCCGTACCGGTATATGCCCAATTGTCGTACAGTCGGGTAATGCGTGCAGTCCGTTCAGGCGGTGTTTTATTCGGCATTTGTTGTGTGTGCTTGTGTTAGTATATTATTCTATGTGTCATCAATTTTGCGTCATTCAATATTTAATAAATTTGTCGACTCTTCCTGCGAATGCAACCATCAACTTTTATTTTTCTACTACCTGAAATAACTCTTAGAAATCACCTCAAAGATCTTGTAAAAGTAGTGAAAAATTTCTATTTGTAGTCGCCCAGAACTTCAGTGAGATACATAGTTAGTACCCTTGCTACGTTCAAAATATTCAGCATGAGAGCAAATTTCTACCTCGACTTGTAGGTAGTAAAAAAATTCAGGAAATGAAAGTGCGCCAGAGGATGAGCTGGTATGCCCAGTTTTTTAGGTAATTTAAGGTTATTTTTGTTTAGTGTGCCCTCTCTTCACGGCAATAAGTAAATAGTGATGTCAGCTGTCGCTTTGTGTAATCGCACTGTGGGCACAAAGCGTAAGGCATGTTTGTGTTTATTGTCTGAGGCCTGTGCATGGTGCTTATATAGCCATGCCGGATAAGCCTTGTGGCCAGCAATTTGAGAATGAACTTTGGGAACACTGCAAGGTACAGCCGAGTACATTGTTCTCGAAGCTTCAGGCTGGAAATAGAAAGCAAATAAATGCGTTCGTTGCGAGCTTATGGGGCATACAGCTCAGAACGTCAGCGTGATAAGTTCGAGGCGGAAGGAAGCTGCATCTACAACTCACTGTAAAGAAAAATAAGCCCAGATGGGAGTAAACGACTTGTCCTCTGGCTCACGTCCGGATGCGGATTTTATGAACACCGTCCGGGGAGGACGGAATTTTTTGTTGATTTAGGGGAGTTTTCATTTACATACATTAACTTTTTAACTTTTCAGGTTAGTATGGTAGTATATTTGTACATCCACCTAGAAAAAAATGCGTCCTTAGCAGGACAATGCAAAAGCGTGCTTTGTATTAAATTTCCTTCGAAGCACACAATATTGATCACACGTACACAAAACATGCGCACAACGTTTGCTTTATTACAACACTCGCACTACCCACTGCTTGCCGCTCTCCCTGCGCAAGCACACTTCTATCGCAAGGTGTACATAGGCAACGTATTTTGATCTCCCATGTAGCTCTGGAGGGACCCTTCTTTTACGAATAATTAAGCCGTAAATATTCATGAGGTAAGATAAAGTTGGGAGGTCCTGATGGAAGCTCTCCAACATATGTACCTTATATCCAACACCCGCTTAATATTTCATTTTTTAGCTATAGCAATATTTAATTACGAGCTCGTGCTCTGTCCGATGGCTCAATTTGTATAAGCAGTACTGTGTGGAAATTGAATCCGCAAAATGCACTGAATCGTACACAAGGCCCTAGCGGCCGTGAATAAACACTTGAACGGCGCACATTGAGAACCACTGCAGCGAAAAACCGAGGCACTGCCTGTTCCTTGTTCGATCGCTAGGACTCGCTCAGGAGTACAGCACGGCTATACGATGACTGAAAACTGGCAATCACAAAATGCTTGCTGCTGTGCAGTTTTAAAGACGACAGCCTTTCTTGGGGACCTTCGACGCAAAAATTTTGGTCTGTCTGTCTGTCTGTCTGTCTGTCTGTCTGTCTGTCTGTCTGTCTGTCTGTACATTTGTCTGTTTGTCCACTTTTACCGGCACCGGGTACTTGAAACTGCCGAACCCATTTGCAGGGCCCACCAACGTTGCTCAAGATTGAGCGTTCATACTTGTGCAATTGTCAATTAAAAAGCAATTATTGCGCATGTCTAGGACACCATAACAACATGTATATATTCTGCATGTGCGCCTTTTACTAGAAAAAGCATACACAAGTAATTTTATTTGTCGTCGTTATTTTTCACACGCCCAGAAATAGGTGTCCGCCATCTAAACAGTTTGAGCTATGGAGAGATAGACTTAACAAACGAGACAGTTCGCTGCAGTGCATGCGAGCTCACTACGCCGCCAGCTGGATACTGACGGCGTAGCGAGCCCTTTATACCACTGAGATGTTGCAGCCATTTACATACCGTTGACACTCTGAGAAGTGACCGTCGCCGTCAGTCAGGGCCAGCGCCTCGCCCACGCAACTCTCACACCGGTCGCCGGCCAGCTTGCCGTGGTCTAGCGAATCGTACTTCGGCCAGCTTCAATGTTTTAGACGGTGAAATTCTAAGAGGAACCAATGATAAACGCATTGCTTACTTTTGCTACCATTAAGTTGTTCTAATTTTTTCGTAACTTGACACTTTGAAGCGCGGTATACGCAGCGTTTCGTTGGCGAATCGAATCGATGTCCTGCGAGGTTCAACGGTAGAAGCACCTTGAAAGTTTCACACTGGAACCAACCGGTCGTTGCAAATCTTTGCTGCACTGATAATTTCGTTGCCTGTCGACAAGTCTCCACATGGTCACGTGCACACAAGGCACAGGATATTCACAGTGACGTGTTAACCTATACCTGCACACACACACAAACACTCACACGCAAGTCACGACCATAAAGAGCTTTCAAAATTCGCTAGGGGAGTTTGTAACCACTCACCTGAAACTCTATGGTTTGTTTAACAGGGTAATGTCGTTCATTAACTACGTGATTAGGCATGTGGTGTTTAACGACATGTGCTGAGTTCACTCCTCTACCAGGCAGTAAATAATTGAGGCAGAGCAGCTTTGGGGGCTATATGCTGGAAAAACTCCCACCTCGGCTAGTTTTCGCTTATAATGAGGTGCCGTCATGTAATAAGATATTTAGGTGCTTCCGCCTGCTTCCTTTTTATTTTCACGCGCACGCGACGCGACATGGATGGAAACACAGAGCATTATTGCCAAAACACTTGGTAGGGAGACCATCTCGGTGCGTTGGTGCTATCTCGTTTGGATTGAACAAACCAGCTGCGCAATATCGTCTGAAGAGCGCGTTCGGGAACTGGCGCGATCAGCGTTTATAACGCAAGGAAAAAGCGACACCATTCGCCCAGCATAACATTCTCTGTCACGACCACACTAATTAGTCACTCGCTTATTGAAGGCATGGCTCACACTTTTCTGGTTATTTATTCAAAATATAAAGGCTAATTGTTACTCTTGAAGCTCGCCATGGCTTAACAATAGCTTTCGCATGCCGGCTGACATATACGAATAACCCCGCATCTCTAGTAACTGACGTGTTGCGCTTTCTTGACACTATACAGAAACATTTAAACATTCCTGCTTAACCGAGATCTCTTTTTTCACGGAATCCACTATCCTCTTTCTGGAACGGCTATTAATGCTTGCATTGCAACAGCGAGGTTGCTTAAATTCCTGGAAATCATGGTCGCGTCTTTCTAGCCCACCTGCGAGAGTAAAACCTTGAGAAAAGGAGAGAATAGGTAAAGCTAAAGAGGTGATAGAAAAACTTCAGGTAGCGAAAGTTCATTAGAAAGCTTAGGGTAGCGAAAGACCGTTAGAGAAAGCGTAGTAACTGGGAGAGGGTGAAACTGGTTTAAGACCACAGGAAAACAACGGCGGTTCTATCGGAGCACGTGATAGTGAAGATTTACGCTGTTCATAAAATACGATATTTCATTCACAAGCGCTATTTTCCTTTGGCCTACCATCTTTTAATTATTGACCTGATCTATTCGCCTGAATTTATATTCATTTGAAAAAAAGATGTACCGTGAGGTGGCTTTCAGGAAGTTGTCCACGGTTTATAACGTGATAGCGAGGAAGAGCTCATTCTGCTGAAATGCTAGCGTCAGCGTCAGTATCAGCATCAGCGGCGTTGTCGTTCATTGTAAGCAAAAAAGTATACTGTCGTCCACAAACAAATGTTTCAGGTAAATGAAAAAATAAATTGAAGGTAATATTCTCTTTGAATTAAACTCAAATTCTATCCTTGTGGGCGGCAAGCTGGAATTTTTGTGTGGAGCCACGCTAGTGCATCAGACAGCGGCGCACACACACAAAAAAAGGAAAAAAATGCTACAAGATACGGGCGTAGGGGCAGGAGTCTCCTTAAGGTATGCAATGCTATATAGAAGAGCCGTGGCAATCGCTCCAGGTGTCAGAAATTGTGGATTGCGCAATTAGTGGATGCATTAAAGTTGCCCTGTATTACACCTTTCGGAGCTGCATAGGTATGTTTGGCAAATTAGGGACGGGCTTTGGGGGGGTTCAGCGATAGACAAAATGAAATACTTTTGGGCAGTGGGCACATACCCACGTTATTGTCAGTAGGCATTTTAGTATATTTAGCAACGGCCAATGTTACGTGCTTGGCGGAAGCGTTCTTTTCCTCGTGGCATTGATGAAGGCGGTGCACATGAGGCCTGGTTACGCTGTCATCTCTTTTCAAAGCTCAGGAGCCCAACTTTTTTCACACTTACCCCATCACTGCAGGGATGGGCCGACGTCAGCTTTCACGGTTCGTCTCAAATTCCGACGCCCAACCTTGATGCCCTGGCTGCAGACGGTGTTATACTCAACAACTACTACGCCATGCCGTACTGTACGCCATCGAGGGCTGCCTTAATGACGGGACTTCACCCAATACATACAGGTAAGGTTGCAGTGATTCAGAGAGCTACACTTTTCCGAGGAAGAGCGCAACTTCACCTCAACGTTCTTATCATTGATCTAGAGAAAACAATGAATTTGTTATAGCCTGGGTTTTATTAGGTGACCACTTCTCAATCAAAACACCTAATCAACCTAAGTCTTACAAAATTATGTGTGTAACTGAAAGTAAGCGTCCCGCGCCTGATGCATGTTACGCTGATATAATGTTTTTTACAACGAGCAGGTTCCTTTCTACAACGGTTTTTCAGGACACCAGAGTCATTCACCAAATGACGAGCCCATTCGCACACAACATTCAATACGCACACACAATAGTCGAGCACAGATGACATTGAAGAAACCTCAAAATAACACAAAACTAATCAAGTCACTCAGGTCTTCATGTAACTATAGTTTAGGTGAGACACGATGCTCGACGCGTGTTTCAGCCAGACCCACTGGGGATGGCAGGTTGCAGAGAAAAGCTCGGTGCACAATGGACGGAACCACCTTTTTATTAAAGCAGCTGGTCGAGGATGAGGCACCTACGCCTAAGTGCGTCACAGCCGGACACCTCCACCAAGGTTCGCGCCTGCAGGCCTGACGCCTCAGCATGTCCACGGGCAAAGGACATCTCGCAGCCGCAGCACATTAGAGATGCGCGGCCATAAACTGTTGACACGTGCTACGACCTTCCAAGCTCATCTCGCCACCATGGCAGAGGTGCTAAACACGACAGCCAAAAAACATGGCTCCTTTTCTTGGCCGCTTTTTAGGGGCGAAGCTCCTTATAGGAGCACCCGTTCGTCCCTCGTAGTCGTAGTCGTAGTGTGTAAGCAGTCTTACGCTTTGACCTCCAAGGTGGTGCTGGTGTGAGATTTCCCCTGTGCGTTGTTGAACAATAAAAAAATTTGCAGCGTGCGCGTTAACTAAAAGCCGCATTCTTCTGTCTCTCATTTCTCATTGGCATGTTCCAGTAGGAAACGTTAGTAAAAGTAGAAGTGTTAAAAGCCTTCTCCGTGATTGGACATCACAAAAGCGAAACGTGGCTTCACAGAGGCAGTTCAGCGTTTTTGTGCATTGTTTCGCCACAAGGGCGAAGGAATGAATGCTACAGCAACAAATTGTAAGGTCAGACGAAGAACGGCAAGCCGCTGGAAACGTACTGCGCGCAGCTCAAGCCGACTTGATGGATATGTGGAGTTTAAGGTCCAAAAACTACAATGAGAATATGAGAGACGCCACAGTAGAGGGCTCTGGAAACTTCGACCACCTGGGTTTCTTTACCATACCCCCAAATCTGAGCACACGGGCATACATCATTTTCGCCTTCATCAAAAATGCAGCCTCCGAAGCCGGGGTATGATACCGCGACCCGCGGGTCAGCAGCCGAGTACCTTAGCCACTAGACCACCGCGGTGGGGCAGCGTGGACTAAGAACTGTTACAACTTCACAATAAGAGCGTGCTGCTCTAACAAAAAAAAAAACGCACGAGACGAACGCACAACTATTCGCAAGTTTCGTCCCCTATAGGGGCGCACAGGGTGGTTCAATATGGCGCCCACAGAGAGTATCGGAGTCACTAAGCACATGTGTGGCCTGCACTGCGTTTTTTTTTTTGCTTTGCGATGGCTCTACTCTTTTTGAATTCGCGTATTATGTGCCACCTAGATGATTCAAAAACTCAGATTCGATGCCTCGTTGAAGGCGAATGTGATGCTATATTGGGGCAGGACCACTCCAGAAGGACGTCGACAGTACGCCAGTACACAAACACACATCTCAGATATATTACACACTTTACACCTATACATAAATACACACAAGGGCTCACATGCACGCGGATAAGATATGGAAATAATCATAATCTCCGGCCTAGAGTTCAGGTTGGCGACATCGTTGCCTGAGACGTCGTTGTAGTCTCGTCGGAACCTTGCGGTGGCGAAGCTCTGTTGATGCGGCGCCGGCGCGTGCGGTGACAACTCACTTGTCTCGACGCCACGGTCAGCTAACCGGAGTCGACGACAGACGGCCTGCGGTGGGAGGTAGTTGTGCCCTTGGGCACCAGCAGTGCGGCACGAAGATCCACGCTAGACCTCCTGGACCGGCAGGACAAGGCCAGGTTTCAAGAACCCTGGCTCAGGAACAGGAAGGCAGGCTCAGGAACCCAGCGCCAGCTCTCCTGAACCAGCCATTCAGCGGTAGAGCGAGTTGAAAGCCACGTTGGCCGTCCTGGGCCCGTCACCTAGCGGAGGTCGAGCACCCAGCGGGTACAAAGGTAGTGACATGGTCGGGGTGGAACCTGTGGGCCAGACGCCCAACGAAGTAGTCCCACCTCGAACGCTGCGCCTCGCACTGCTGTATCTTGGTCCCAAACCCGCGAGGCCACGGCTCAGGAGCTGTCGTCGTCTTCATTGCCGATTCTGCACTGCACATACACGCATAAATTCCATCATCTTCACCACCGCATGGCACACACTCGAGGTCTGAGTTTCGATTTCCCAACCACGGCAAATATTATCACAGCGAAGAGGTCCTGAATGTCAAACATATCACTTGTTGTGGCGTGTCATGTCCATGCACGTTGCCTTCCACTGAAGGCGTGCCTCACGATGATTGCGTGGTTTCTCATGCAAAACCCCAAATACTGCTATAATATTCTCTATTTCCTTCACGTCTCCAGTTTTGAGCGGGTATTACCAATGTAATACTTCACTAAGTTATCGTGACGCTGATATTTTTGACATGTTTTTGAAAAAAGTCACAGCGTTGCCGCAAACGCGGGGCAATGAACGTGATAGCGACAAATCGGAAGGTCACGCGTGGTGTGGCAAGCAGATCAGAAAGTGCCCCACGTTTCTCATGCACAAATTACGACGAAACGTATACTGACAGGTACAGATGAAAGCGAATAAGCGTCTCAGTTGTTACTTCCCTGTGTTTGAAAAGCGCTCCCTTTTTGCAAACAGAGAATGTGCAATGATTACAGTGACATCTGCGTGCCCGGCAACTACAACAGAAACGTTCTAGTGAAAGCCCAGCACCCGCCAAAACGTACATGCAGATGCTACGAGCGCTGCTGCCCCAGTGCTACTACGATACTTTTTGAAAAATTTACGCTGGTGGCCACGGGGACGCGTGACACTCTACGGAACTTGCGAATAAGCAGAAAGAGTGCAAACCACTGTCAAAAGTATTACTTCTTCGTGCGGGACCAGCGTGCTCCTTCCGTAAACGTGGCCGAGGCAGCGAGGGAATCAGAGCTTGATGAGCGCGCACTCAGGATAGGCCCCATTCTAGGCCACTCTAGCGTTGTCCTGTGCGTCTATCGAATCGCGAGAGGCGACAACGTTTAGACCACGCGCCCAGCTCTAAAGTCGGTCGAACGGGGAAAGTACCGCACTCGTTTTTTTTTTGTCGCTGCGCGTTATTGTGTCCAGCTCACTTGCCTCGCTAGTGTGTCGGCGTGCTGGTGGTCATTTGCTGAAATGTACTAATACCGAAATTTGTTCGACAAGATAAATCTGTAGGACGAATACGAATGACACGTGGTGCCGAAAAATCTTGGCTTGCATTTCAACTGCTGCATGATTTACGTCCCGCATTCATAGTGTGCTCGCGACCGGTCGGCTTGCTTGATATTCCCGAAAATTGGTAATACGTGGGACATGGTTTTACGTACACAACTGCGAAGTGTTAGCACGGCAATCATGCATGCCAGTGTCGGCGTGATTTGATTGTCATGTTCTTCGTGGACTTGCGGCTGATTCGATAGCTTCACATACGCCCGAACTGGTAATGCGTGACGTGACTGTATAGCGAACAAAACAGCAGGTTGTAACAGAAAAGAATATGAGACGAATGTCATGTAAGTGATGATTTACATGCCGTGCTTGGGTGCATTCGAGGCCAGTTCGCTATAGTGAGGTACACCAAAATTGGTAAGGCATGACATTACTGCATGATGAACGTGAATGAATAATTGTGACCAGGAAACAAAACAAGCTTCTCGTCCCCACATTCAAGTCCGTCATTCATTCTTCATACAGCTCACTCCCGACATACCAATTTTGGTATTTACCATGGTAGTGTACCAGGAGCGTGTCAAGTAAGCACCACTCATATTGTGCCTGTCATTATTTTCATGTTACTACCTGTGCCTAATTTTCGTCGTATAGTCACATGACGAACGCAATTTTTGCTTTATATTCAGAGGGCAAACCAGCCACGAGAACAATATTAGTGAAGCATTTAGATCATGCAGCACATAGCATGCATGTTACAATCTTAAAGTTTACACCTGTTGTTTCAGTTCACTATACAGTCAAATCATGTAATACCAACTTAGGTGCACCTCAAGCTGGTGAATGGTCCACCAGCGGGTCAAGTTCATGGTAATTAGCAAATGATTCATGCTATACCTGGCCTACAAGCAACGATTTTCGTGCTACTGCACGGCATTTACATTTGTCAAGCACATGTATCTTGTCATAGCAAGCTTACATCTATTTATGCAGCTGAAGTATATTTGAAGTGCCGACAAATGCAAAAAAGTGCTACGATAAAAACAAATTTTGCGTCCGCGATAGGAGTAACTCTGTTCGATAAGTACAAAGTTCTACTTCGTGGGTCTGTACGCGTAGGAAGTTATGACGTCCGTTTGCAGCATGCCTAAAGGAACGATGTATTGTCTTCGAAGCAGTGGTATAACAGAAACTATTCTGTTCAGCCCTTAGATGGTTGAAATATCGAATGATGCGGTTTATACTTCTCACTCTTATGTGAGTTTGCATGCATACTCTTAAACCAAGAAGCATCTGGATGAATGTTCGATAAAGCTGGAAATATAGAAGCAGTCAGAGTGTCCGTAGTCGAATGTGCACCAAGCACTTTTGCGAGAAAGGTTCTTCACACTGCGTCGGTAAAATATTCAATGAAAACGACGTGGAACTTATCGAGGAAGTAAACATAGGAATCTTCGATATTTATTCACACCAGGC